GTATCAATTTTTTTTGTTCTTTCTAAAACTATTGTATGTATTTAAAACTTAATGTTGTTATGGTGATAACAATGCCACGATGGAAAACATTGGGTACGTTCAGCAGGTGTCAACAGTTGAATTAAATCAGTCAGCTAGTTGTATGAGCTTTAATACAGCGGAACGAAATCGGCTGAACAAGCAATTGAGAATTAGCAGTTCAGCATAACCTAAAACTATGGCCAACAATAATATTTTTGAAAATTTTGTGTTATTACAAGAGATAATGGATGATGATGTTGATTTTAAGGCTCATTTCATTTTATACAGTTCTGCCAGTTTTCAAAATTAAAGGGGAGAAACAAAAAATATTAATCCTAACCTAGAATTTCACAACCGCTGACAAACTAAGCGCAGATTACTTACGCTGAGATATTTACTAAACTGCTGCGTAACAGCGCTGACTTAGCATATCGTTCAGCCGCGACTGCTAATATAGCAACTTAACAGTTGACACCGACTGAACGTGCCCATTGTTTCCAATTATTACCAAAGTTTGTAGTAGTATTTAAAAATTCACTAACAACTCTGGCATTATGTGCTGGTGCTCCGTCATATTGAAAATATATCATTTGAGACATTTGAGACGTCTCTCAAATTTCTTTAAATTTTCGTCAATAATGGACGGAAAAGTTGTCGTTAGTATTCCGAGTGCACTTCATTCACATAAACCATCTTTAAATGGTAAAATAATAATTTATGTGGATTTATTTTATTTTAAATTTTAGATGTTTTGCAAAAATATCTCCCAAAAAATCCAAAGTATTTAGAAATTTTTGCAAGATACCTACTTCCAAATACAACTAGTTATGGATTAGAAGCCATAAAATTCCAACACATTTCACTTTATAAGGAACAGTCTGAATAAATCAAAGGTGTTTTTTTAAAACATAAATTATTTTATTATTTTTATATTACATTGAAGAATAGGAATTTTATTAATAAATATACAAAGTAACTCTAAGTTATTTAATTTAATATCTTTTGTTCGGTATCCCTCTGGATTCATCTTTTACCATCTTCAAAAATCTGCACCTAATTTATTTTTTAATTTATGTTAGTCTTTTTTTTTAGATAAGTATACAAGATGTCTCAGCAAGACCGGTCGTTAGACGTTTCTGGGATGCTGGCCAATATAAAAATTTGAGAATTTAGACTTAAGTATTATCAATTTAACACTCCAGTGCAAAAGCCAGACAAGTATGCCAAAGTAAAATGTTGAAAAACAAGGAAAAACTGTTTATCCTTTTTTATTATGATTTTAACAGTTTTTGTGATATCTACATAGTCGATAGGCGTATAGATGTCAGTTTTAGATAAATTTTAATAAAGTCCATAGATTTACAAAGTACCGCGGTTCATGAAGCCTGTTTTCGAGCCAAAATGGCGGTTTGACAGCTTGTCACTGTATCCCACTACTTATTTACAAAAATATTGCCGTCTTGTTGCCTTTGGAATTGCAAAAATGGCAGTAAGAAGGACTTTCGACTCTTCAGAATACCACGAGAAAAAAAAAAGGAAATTTGGCGTAATGTTATCAATAGAACGATATAGTTTTAAATTTCCCGCTTGACTTTCGAGTCAAAATGGCGTCAAACCGCGGTACTTTGTAAAGCTAGGGACTTTAAATTTTAATTAGTAATTATTTTTTGTTTTTTGTCTGCATACAAAATTTTCTAAATGATATGTCTGGTTTTTGCACCTCAAATTCGTGTATCGAAAACCTGTATAAAATCAAAACTAAGTAAATTTGTATGTCACAGGCTTATACTTTTCATGCTTTAAACCTTAGAAGAGGCAGATGGTGATTTGTACAAAAAAAAACAGTTTTTCAACAAGAAGAGGATGATGTCTGATTTTTGCACCAAATTTTCAGATATCTCGTTCTTGCACAAAAAATAAATACAATAGATTTAAAATTGTTTATTGTTTAAATTTAACCGGCGTTTTGTATTTCAAATATTTCATTGTAGTACCACTTGTCTGCCGCTGATCGTATTTTTGTGGTTTTAACTTTCATTTTTCCTTATACAGTTTCTGATCAGGATTAGGCAATATCGCTTGTTAGTTAGGTTTTTCAAGAATATAATCTAAAAATATGGGAGAGCTGACACTAACGCTCACTTGAATCACCAGAATCTTTTGTATATCGTATCGAAAGAGGCGATATTTGGAAATTGTGAATTTATCTCCACGTGATGTAGTAGTTTTTTTAAACTTATGAATAAAATGACTTTTATAGTCCAGTAACATTTCTTGATCGACAGTAATACTTTTGAAAATTACGCGAGGCCACGTTAATAATTCTGGCATATTCTTGGGGCAAATAAATTTTCTCATGTTTTTTCTGCACCATAACAGCGTTTTTGTTTTGTGAGCTGCAGTTGTCTGAAAAAATATATAACTCTGTGGCTTTTGCATCTAGTTTAAGTTGCAATAAAATAATTTAGCAAAATAACTACAACATTGTGACCCTTTGAACCAGTCAACTCGTCATACAAATAACAAAAGCTTGTATTTAAGCTGGCAGCGTGAATGCAGAAATTATACACCTATAACTATCGCTTATAAAAAACATCGCCAGCTGCCAGAGAGGACAGTGGAAAATTTTGTTGAAAATCCATTGAAATTGTTTCAATGTGACCGTTATCAATAGCAAGTGCAGTTTTTTCTTTTATATCTTTATGAAATGTTCCAGCTTTAAGGTGATGTACTTTCATTTCTGTCTCTAACTGTGTTTTTATATCAGCAGTGTCTGCAGCAGGAATCTTTACGTCATATTCTTCGCAAGTTTGACATGTGTCTGTTTTCGGTTTTCCTACTCGGCTTCCCAACCTACTGGGCAAGCCACATGTCTTGTTCTTACACCGAACGACAAAATATACGGCATACTGCGCAATAACAAGACACTGAACATATTATGACGTATAACTCCCGCCAAAATCAAGACAGAAGTTTGATTCTTGCCCCGAACGATAAACGTGATATTTACTTATTCAGAACCAGACATATCTCAATTTTGCCAAAAGGTGGAGATGTCCGGTTCTTGCACTGGGATGTTCAATTGCGTTCTCTTAGATGTAATTGTATGCCCCCGGATCGAGTTACAAAGAGGAAAAAAAATTTTATTACTGATTTTTCAAACTTATCTCAGCATTAATAATGCGTCGGATATGTTCAAACCACAAAATCGCACGAATTTTACAGTCTAACTATAGAAGTTAACTAATTATTCCCATTTTTATGTAAAAATTGGACTTTTTTCAAAATTAAAAATTTTTCAAGTTCAATTTGATATGTAACTTCTATAGTAAGAGTATAAAATTTGTGCGATTTAGGCCCACTTTTACCACCTCCTGATAAATTTATCCGATAGATAAATCCAGTTCTTAGCCAATGAGAGCGCTTAAAACCGCCGTAACCATGGCAACCATCCTCTAGATAGTTTACCAGGAGGATGGTAAAAGTGGGCCTTAGTGGTTTATTGGTAACTATTTTATTTTAAATTTTAGATGTTTTGCAAAAATATCTCCCAAAAAATCCAAAGTATTTAGAAATTTTTGCAAGATACCTACATGCAAATACAACTAGTTATGGATTAGAAGCCATAAAATTCCAACACATTTCACTTTATAAGGAACAGTCTGAATAAATCAAAGGTGTTTTTTTAAAACATAAATTATTTTATTATTTTTATATTACATTGAAGAATAGGATTTTTATTAATAAATATACAAAGTAACTCAATGGCTGTTATTTAATTTTATATCTTTTGTTCGGTATCCTTGTGGATTCATCTTTTGCCATCTCCAAAAATCAGCACCTAATTTATTTTTTAATTTATGTTAGTCTTTTTTTTAAATAAGTATACATTATTAAATACTTACACATATCTTCTAAACTATGAACAGCAGTCCATCCTAATTCTTTTTCGGCCAATTCAGCATTTGCATACATAATCGAAATATCACCTTCTCGTCTTTCTGCAATTTGGTATGGAACGGTCATGTTTGTTACTTTTTCAAACGCTTTTACTAATTGTAATACACTAACACCTCTTCCTGTTCCTAAATTATACACCTAAAAATAAAATGATAAGAATAATTTTAATTTAATTATTTATTTTTTTTATCATATCATAGAAATAGGAAAAATTTCAATAATTAAAATTATGAAAAGAAGTGGCTTTAAATTCAACTTGCAAATATATACATATAATTAGCTAGTCTATACAGCTTGTAAGATAATGGGTTTTAGTCATCACAGTGTGTTATTTATAAGAAAGTTCATTTGAAAAATTAAAATTGGCAATTAACTACATATAAAATTTTATTGATATAAATTAATCCTGTAATTCCGGTTAAATCCCACCCATTCAATCTATTATTTTAATCTAAAAATTAATCTTTATTTTTTTTTATGTATCCGGGATTTCGAACGACTATTGTTACAAGTAATATCTTTTTTAATCAAAATAAACTCGGTTTTAGTGCAATAAATTCTTTATCAGTGACGTATTTATTTAAGATTAATTGAAATCAGTAAATATTTGATTTATAATGTCCATTTAACATTAACGAAAATTTTGTACCATTTTTACTTAAAAATAATTATTAATCTTTGACAATTAGTCAAAGTATTGTCAAAGATTAAGATCGCTCGTTATTTGCATCTTGAATGACTTTATCTTAAGTAATATCTAACTTGATTACAGAACAGAAAGGTGTTAGATATTTTTTGTGACACGTGTATAAATAAATCGATGATATAAACAATCCAAGACATTTTTTATTTAATCATTTACGATTATTCTAGATCTAGGTCTTGTGTTAGTTCTAGTGATAGTGTAAAACTGGAATTAACACTAGACCTAGAATTAGAAACATTCGGATTTAGCCGCACGTCTCTCAAGACGGCTAAACCCGAATTATTCTAGTTCTAGGTCTTATGTTAGTTCTAGTGATAGTACAAAACTAGAACCAACACTAGTCCTAGAACTAGAAAGCATCGAAGCACTTTTTTTTGAATAGTTCATTTTGATTAAGTAGGTATCGGCAAAAGAATAACTTCCTGGTGTATTCGCTTTACAAATATAAAAATAAAACACGTGGAGATTAGAGAAAACACAATCGCCAATATTGGATTAAAGAAACGATTTAAAGTGAAAAAGGGGGTTATATTTATTGTAGTTGGACAATTCTTAAGGCGATTATTACCCACGGACTTAAAACCAACATAAAAAACATACCTGGATGGAAGAGGCAGAAAATGTTAGTAAATTAAAACCGTAAATTTGGGTTTTATCAATTTTTAGGTCTAAATAAAACTAGAAAGTTTTGAATTATGCCGGGTGTTTCGATTTTCCTTAAACGGGGTTTTTTAAATTGTCTACGAATGAGTTTACTCGTTTTGATTGGAAAATATTAATTATTTTTGAAAATAAAAACGATATAACCTCAAATGGATGTTGTCATTTTTACAGTACCAAGTTAAAAAAAAATAAAGGTACTAAATCTGGAGAACATCAAAATTTTGAGATTATGTTGCAACGCAATTAACATAGAAATAAATAAATAACAATTAATAACAAAAAATGAATATAATAATAGTATAAAATGTAATTAATTTAAATTAAAATTATAAAAAAAAATATTTAAACTTATCGTTAGTGACATTTAATCATTTCCATTACCAACCTCACGATTGCAAGGTAGTCTTCAACTGATTTTCTAAAGAACTTTTTTTCGGCATATTTCGTATTAAGAAACCAATAATTTTCTTTAATAAACAAACAAAGCGACTTAAAAGGTACAAAATAAGAAACTTTCATCTTTTCTGAATAAGATAGGACGAAACTCCTCGTTTTTTAGCGATTAGAAAAGTTTTGGCGACCACTTTGAAAATTGACATGCACTTTTAATGAAAAATTATCCATTAAAAAATAATTTAATTCATTTCGAGTTTCAAGGTTGGCAGAAATTCCCTGCTAAATTAGTTTTGAATTATGCTGGGTGTTTCGATTTTCCTTAAACGGGTTTTAAATTGTCTACGGTTGATTTTTCTTGTTTTCCACTCGTTTTGATTGGAAAATATTAATTATTATTAAAAATAAAAACGATATAACCTCAAATGGATGTTGTCAATTTTACAGTACCAATTTAAAAAAAATAAAGGTACTAAATCTGGAAAATATCTAAGTTTTGAGATTATGTTGAAACGCAATTAAGATAGAAATAAATAAATAACAATTAATAAACAAAAAATGAATATAATAGTAGTGTATAATGTAATTAATTTAAATTAAAATCATTTAAAAAAAATTGTTTAAACTTAGTGACATTTAATCATTTTCATTACCAACCTCATGATTGCAAGGTAGTTTTCAACAGATTTTTTCAAAAACTCTTTTTCGGCAAACAAAGCGTCTTAAAAGGTACAAAATAAGAAACTTTGATCTTTTCTGAATAAGATAGGACGAAATTCCTCGTTTTTTAGCAAATAGAAAAGTTTTGGCGACCACTTTGAAAATTGACATACATTTTTTAATTAAAAAATAATTGAACTCATTTCGAGTTTCAAGGTTGGCAGAAATTCCCTGCTAATTTAGTTGTCGAATAAGGTTATGTATTTGATGGTTGACGTTTCTTTGAATTAATATCAGAAGATAAAAAAAACAAGATTGTTTCATATAACGCGAGTTTTATCAAAACACAAATTACCACAGGAAACTCTTTTTGATTGTTTTCAAGATAAAAAAAGCAATTACATCTATAGATAACTCAAAATTGTTTGAACATTACTTTTTAATAAATGTTTAGATTTATCTATAAACATAAGATGTTAAATTAAAATTGAGCAATCTTTTTACCTTGATTTTTTGGTGTTTTTTAAATAACAAACTTAACGCAGCAACATGGCCTCTTGCTAAATCCATTACATGTATATAATCTCTAACACCTAAAAAGAAGGTAAATTCCAATGATAAATTAATATAAAATGTTAAAAATTAAACCTGTTCCATCAACTGTGTCGTAATCGCCACCGAAAATAGTTAAAACTGGTTTATTACCAATCGCAACTTGTGAAATAAAAGGCATAATATTGCTAAAGGGTTTGGTGGGATCTTCACCTATTAATCCCGATGGATGTGCCCCAACAGGGTTAAAATATCTCAAAGCAATTATATTCCATTTCTATGTAAAAAACGTAAATTAAAACGAAAAAAATGTTGTAATAAAATACCTCATCTGAATAACTAATATCTTGAAGCATTTCTTCAACGAAATATTTCGTTTTTCCATAAACATTCGTAATATTACGCCCTGTGGCGTGATTCTCAGTTACAGGACATTCTTCAGGTTCGCCATAAACAGTACAAGAACTAGAAAATACCAATTGGTAACATTTATGATCAGTCATAACTTCTAGCAGATTTAACATTCCTATTAAATTATTTTTGTAATACAACAATGGATATTCTATTGATTCATCAACAGCTTTCATTGCAGCAAAATGAATAACACAATCTATTTGGTGCTAAAAGATAATAAATTTCAAAAATCAAGTTATTAATTTTTTTTTAATAAATACTTTTTGAAACACCCCATATAAAGCATCTTTATCCAATAAATCAACTTTATAAAAGTGAATTTTTTTTCCAGTAATTTCTTCGACACGTTTTAAAGCTGCAGATTCACCATCACAAACGCCGACGCTATTTGTAAAGTTATCAATAACAACAACATCGTAATCGGCTTTTAAAAGTTCAACAATACAATGACTACCAATGTATCCAGCACCTCCAGTTACAAAAACAGTTCTCGTCATCCTTAAAAATATATTTCGATTACCAAAAAAAAAAAACCAGATTTGTTGAAATAAATTTTTGAACTTACTTCATTTTGAAAATTTTTTATTTAGGCACTTTCTCACTAATAATTCACAAAACATAAACTAATGGGTACGTTTGAACAGTTAGAAGAAGGCCAATATGAGCTGAGGATGTGTCAGTGACCTTAAAAAGGCCGGCAAACGGTCGCTTCTCAATATTATAAAAAGTTGGCCTTCAACAGGTTGGTTGCGGTTTGCGACTAAAACTGAATCCTAAATCGAACGCGACGCGACACTCAATGTAGACTCTTGAGTTGTAAATGTAAACTTCTCACAAACCGGTTTATCTAATCAATTTTTACTTTGGATTATACCGAAATTTGCTTTTGATATTGAAAATAAAAATTACATCCATTCCTTATCGGGCCGTTTTATTGATTATTATTTTCCGCGATCAAAAGGACAAAAAAATATAAGCCTTTAAATCGGTTTATAGTTTATGTAGATATTGAAGGTTAATCTTTTGTATTCTAATTTTTTTAAGCGGATACGCGTGATGCACCGAATGCAAGCTGAGTTGTATTTAGCAGTAAATTTGAGATGTGTGCCAAAGTCATATTTTATAGGCATGAGAAAATGTTTTTGTACGACGTAATTTGTTAATTTTATTTCTTTACAAGTAATTACATGATGGAAACGTTTCGTAGGCCTCTTGTTGAGATAATTGAGAGTACAGAGAGTACGTTTTCTTGTTATAAAAAAAAGAAATAGGAATTTATCATTGAAATTTATAATAATGGTAATGATGTAATGTTTTTTTTTCTGGAAATGTTCGTTTCATCAGATATATTTTAAGGCAGATTTTATGTTAACAAACAGATTTGTAGTATCTTTGCTGTATGTACTCAATTTGTTACTTAAATTTTATTTGTTAAATTAAGAATTTAAGGAATTTGACTCAAAACCTAAGATTTTAATAGCTAGATAAAGTTATCATTTAATCAATCAATCATTACCTTGTTAATCAACGTTGCTGCCAAACAGAAAGAAAACTTACAATATGATTGATGAAGCTTGCCCAGAAATTTACTCACAAATGCAGAAACTATAATAAGAATAAATTAATACTTGGATAATACTAATAATAGGGAATGCAGAGAGGCGATTAGAGAAGCTAGAAGAAGTTTGAAACAGTGGCAGAGAGGGGAGGTAGAGATAGACAGATATATAGAGGCCAAGAGAAAACACAAAGAAGAATACAAGAAAAAGAAGAGGGAGCTGAGAAGATTAGGGAGTTGAAAAAGGAAAATGAGGTATGGGGATAGTTAAAGAGGATAACGAAGGGAAGACAGGCAGTCGGCAGAGATATACAAATAACAAACCTACTTCATGGGATTGTTGGGAGGGGTGGAAGAGAGAAGAATGGGAGAGGGAGAGCGAGGGGTGCAAGGGGGAGAGGAGATAATACTGGAAGAAGTGGAAGCAGTGTTGAGGGGAATGAAGAGGATTAGATCCAGAATGAGGCATGGTTGGATTCAACGGAGACAGTGAAGAAGAAGCTAGGGAAGGTATAATTCTCTTCAGAAGAAAACCTGCACTTCGTTTTAATAATGTTTTAATAAATTTCCCAATATGAGGCAAACTACAATAAATAGGTAAAGGAATATTTATAGATAAGATATAGATTTACAGATTTGTTTATAGATAATTTGTAGAGAATTAAATTCCCTTCTGATAGGCTAAAAGAATGGCCCTAATGAATAAAATTTTAGCAATTGCTTCACAAGTAAAAGCTAGCAGTAAAAGCAATGGATCATCACATGAATACAATTTTTAAGCAAATGCTGCCGTTCCTACATCTCTATAGCAATTGCTTATTCGAACAGGTCTCAACCTGCAAATTTAGATAGTTCAACTTTTACTACTGTGTTTACGTTAATACAACACCGTGGGTTAAAGAATGTTATTAAAACAATATTCTGTGCCATGGCAGATTCTAGTGGAATTTAACAGTGATGAAGAAATTGACAAGCAATTAATTTTGCTGTTGTTGGGTTGTAGGATTTCTCCAGGGAGTCATAATGCAAGGCGATATAGAGTAACAATCGTCTCCTAACAATACAGATTCTTCTGTACTGCTTTTAAGAATGCTATATAATAATATGTTAGAATTTTTGAAAATTCTGCTATCGTGTACAGACCGTGGCCAGTGACAGTCTACGCTAGTAAAAATTTCTTTTGCATTACATGTTGCCTGTACGCTAATACTGGGGTATCCTTTTCGGTTTATATATTCATCTCCGAACTCATGAAACTTTGGAATTCTAACATGTGTGCAGTCTTCAGACGCACGGCTAAACCAGAATTTTTCTAATTCTAGGTCTAGTGTTAGTTCTAGTTTTAGTGCAATAAAAATATACAACATAGTGATATCTAGCAACATCATGTTTGAACTCATTTTAATAGTTTTTTTTTAATAAAGAATACATCATAAGAGAACACCATGAAGTTGTCCATTTGTCTATTATATGATAACTAACTTCAGATTTAAATGTCAACCTCAATTTTGACATATTTGTAATCTTCATTAAAAATCCTTTAAAATGAGTACAAACACGACATATTTATGTTCAATATTAATGAAGTTATGGTCAACTTTCGGTTACAAATGTCAACGTCAATTTTGACATATTTGTAATTGTCGTGAAAAATCCTTTAAAAAGAGCCCAAACATGATACGTTTAATTCCAATATTACTCGAGATATAAGCAACTTCCGATTTGAAATGTCAATGTCATTTTGACATATTCTTAATTTTTATAAAATGTCTTAATATTTGTCACAAAAACAAAAATATAATAAAAAAAAA